CTGTTGTTCAGCATCTTAGCTGTGGAGGGCAGTGTCACTGGCCCTCATATGTGGGATCCGAACCGGGGCCCTCTGGCGTCCCAATCCAGTTCTTAACCACTGCGCCACTCGGCTAGCCCCAAAATTTTAACATATTCTTTTTCAAAGTAGAGAAACATAATTAATTCAACAAAAGCTGGTAGTTTTCACTGTTTCTTAGAAGTAAATACAATAAATAAGACATGGAAAATAGCCTGTTATAAAAACCAAATTAGTTAATAACTATCACAAAGACAAAACCTAAGTATATCATTGTTTCTTCTCTTGAAGATCTTATGTCCATTTCATTCCTGTCTTTAAAAAAAAAACCAACACAGATACACACTCATTGGAAATTAAAACAGTGCAGAATTATGTAAAGTAAAAAATAAAAGATCTTCCTCACTTCTTAAAGGTAGCCGACCTTTTCCTATGCACATAGAAATATTGCCACCTACTTATTTTGCAAAATTAGCCAATACTATTTATATTGTTAAATAGTTTGCTTTTTTTCACTCCGTTTGTTGTCAGTACTCACAGTTCTACTCCTCTCTGTTTTCACCGCTGCATGCTATTTCGTAATATAAAGTAGATATAACATAATTTAATTAACCATTACCTATTTGGGGACATTTAAGTTATCTTCAGTTTGTCATTAATGTACATAGTGAATATCTTTATGCATACGCCCTTGAGCATATCTGTGAGTACTTCTGTTGGAGAGAATTCTACAAGTGCGGTTGCTGGGCCAAAGGCTATATATATAGATAGATAGATAGAGAGGGTGCCAAAAAAATGTATACATGTTTTAAGAAAGGAAAAAACTGTATTAAAGTTGTAATACTCAGTATATATCAATAACAAAAGATGAATAAAAGTCATGTTTGACTTCTGCAATGACAAGAGGTGCTCCAAGTAGTTACCATCAGTGGAATTTTACTACAGTTTTTTCCTTTCTTAAATGTGTTTACATTTTTTTGGCTTCCTCTGTACAATAGCTACATTTTACATTTTGATAGGTATTGTTAGGTGGCCTTCCAAAGATAATTGTGCAAGTATATGGTCCCACCAAGAATATATGATGGCTCTTTTATGTGTACCTTTGACAAAACTAGGTTGACAGTTATTTTAATTTGCCAATTTAAAAGGTGAAAAACAAGCAGTATATTAATTTGCATTTCCATGATCACTAGTGAAATTGCACATTTTTTGAGTTTATTAGATATTTATATTTCTTCTGTGGCTTGTCTTTTTATAGTCCTTGCACTTCTTTCTGTTGGATCGTTTTGTAAGCCCACCACCAACACCTCACGTAACCTATGTTTGCTAGAAGAGTTTGTATTGTACTATTTTTGAATTAAATACATATGTGGAGAAGAACAAAAGGGAGGTATAGGATCAAAATATGCCAAAGGAGCTTAGATTTTAAATAATTGTTTGCTACAATTTGTTAAAAATATGGATAGCTAAGACTTTCTTTTATTAATTTTGAAGGCGGAAACAGCAGAAATGTACAACTTGTTTGTTCTGAAGATGGTTCTGACTCCAAAAATAACCCTAAAAATACTAAAAGGAATCCTATACACATTCCCAAATGTGACACTGGCTGTGTTGAGACCTTGTTTGGCCTTAAGAACATTTTTTCCCCATCTGAAGACTTGTTTTCATTTTTAAAGGTATTTTCAATGTCTAGTTTGGAATGTTAAAGTTGTGTTCCTTTTCATCTTCTCAACACTCTATCTTTTGAATCTTAAGGTTAACTTAAATTTATTTATAATTTTTATAGGCTTCAGATATCTGATTGTCACACATTGTACTTCTTTGACAAACAGTGTATAAGCATTGCTTTAAATGCATATCACAGTATGTGGAATAAACTTAGAAATATTTCAAATAAAAAAGACAATTTAAGAAAAGTATTTTTTAGACAAATGAGCCTCTGATTATTGAATTGGGGTATATATTGAATATTAGAAAATTTAATTCTTCAAATTAAAATTAGATTCATAACACTATTTTGATGTATTAAGGAACTGGAGGTTAGTAAAATTATGAGGGGTAGTGACTCTTTACTTTGAAGAAAGAATACAGATTACACTATTCATGGGGGTAGAAAAATGTTTAAACTATGTATTGTTATAACATTTCTTTACTCAATTTTTTTCAGCACAAAATCAGAACAAAGGAAGAATGGCATAAGCTCATCCAGCTTCTTACAGAATTCCAAATGCGGAATGTAGATTTCTTATATAGTAACCTTGAGTTCATTCTACCGTTACCTGTTGATATCATTCCGGAAACAGAAAATCTTTGTGGTTCATCAATAAGTGTGGACACCAGTGCAGCAACAAAAAATATGAAATGTCTTGCTAGGAAACATTCTGAAGGAGAGAAGCCGTTGAAAAAGTCACAAAAAAAGAAACGTAAGAAAAAAATGGTAATTTTAGATGACAGTGACTTATTTGATACTGGATTGGACTTTACCGATGAATTTCTTTGCCTATACCCTGCATCTTCTTCCTCAAATTTTGAAGAAAGCAAAGCCAAAGAAAGCAATCCAGAGACAAAGAAACTAAACAAAGAAATTAACATTGAACCTATTCCTCGTCCTAAAACACCAGCAGAAAAAAAATGTTCAGCCCTCGTTTCTCACTGTCTGAATTCTCTCACTGAGTTCATGGATAACATGTCCTTCTTAGATGCCCTTTTAACTGATGTAAGGGAACAAAAGGAACTTGGTAGAAATGACTTTAGTTGGACAAACGGAAAGGTTAAAAGTGGACTTTGTGATGAATTTAGTCTTGAGAGCCGTGATGGATGGACTTCTCAAAGCTCTGAATTAAAGGCAGCTGTAGAAGCTCTCAGCTTTACTAAGTGTTCTTCTTCTATTTCAAAAGCATTGGAAACCTTGAATTTTTGCAAGAAATTAGGCAGAGATCCAACAAAAGACCTTACTTTTTATGTTTCACAAAAGCGCAACAATGTGTACTTTAATCAGTCAATGGCTAATTTAGAGTAAGTCTTCCTTTCACTTTTTATTTTTCAATAATAGATGGTAATGGGGAAATTGTTAGGTTGTTCTTATTAATTTTGTTTTTCTTTTTTTTTTTTTAAAGATTTTATTGGGAATTGGGGGAGGGGAACAGCATTGGGGAATCGGGAAAGGGGAACAGACAAGTTGCTGTCCTTTTGTTCTTCAGTCTAGTTGTGGAGGATGTTGCTTCACTGACCTATGTTGGTATTGTGATCATTGCACTCTTCCTGGGTGAGGCAAATCGGTCGCCGGCCTCTGGACAGCCGCTCACGGCGGCTCTTGGCAACTCACACCGGCTTTTGGCCACACACGGTAGCTTATGGCAGCCCATTGTAGCAGGGGCTGCAGCCTATGCTGTCACCGGCAACTCACGGCAGCCCAGCTCCAGGTCGAGCTGTTGTTCAGCATCTTAGCTGTAGAGGGCGCGCTGTCACTGGCCCTCATATGTGGGATCCGAACCGGGACCCTGCTGCTCAGAGCTGGCGTCCCAAGCCAGCTCTTAACCAACATGCCACTGGACTGGCCCTGTTCTTATTAATTTTGAAATGCTAGGCTTTGCTGATCATTGTAATCCCTTGATATTGATAATGTAGTTTCTAATGAGACAGCTAAGGAGACCAGCCTGAATGCCGGGAAGAAAAATGAGGTATGGTGGGCTAGATTTGGGAGACTCTTGAATGACAGGAAAGGGGGTTTGGATTTGCTGTGGCATAACAGGTAGCCGTTAGAGATTTCTCAGTGTGGGAGTGGTTGATGAGTTGAAAATGATACAGGAAATTAATCTGGAATCCAATTAATCCAATCTAGACAAGAAGCAGGGAGAAGCAGAGACCAGAAAAGCTGGTTGTGTTTGGGATTGTTGCATTTTTATTGGACATTAAAAATAAAAAGTAATGCATTACTTTTAATTTACAGCTGTGCTTGGAAGAGGATAGCAGTCATTGAAAGTGTATTTTCTAACCGATCTCTTTTGAACCTGGGTAATAGACAAGCTAGTATAATTGAATACTTGCCAACTCTTCGAAACATTTGTAGGATCGAGAAGCTAAAAGAACAAGGAAAAAGTAAAAGAAGGTAAAAGCTCTATAAAAATAACATTGTAGAGAGTCATTTCAAGATTAATATTCTCATCTGATGGAAATATAAATAGTAAATCGTATTTTTTCCTTGTAATTTTGACAGGTTCCTGCACTATCTTGAAGGGATTCACCTTAACGTTTCAAAAGAGACCGTGAACACTTTGGCAGCTGGCTTCCCTTAACATCCCACATTAATAATGTCTTGTACAGATTATTGTGTGACCCTTACATTTTCATATTGATTTTCATGGAGGAGTTTATTTCTCGTAATGTACATTTAAGATAGACTGTTTGTATATTTTTTATCAGTGTGCAAATATTTAAAATGGAAAAAATTTTGAGTTACAAATTGTATTTATGTGTGTTTTTTCTGAATTTTTTATAAGCTGATTTAGCTTTGTTAGAGTGTTTTTGTATGTGAGTGAGATGTTTCTAGGAGGTAGAATTCACTAAGATGTTTCTAAAGATGTTTCAATGTGAAACCAATCCATAATTTCCCCCTTTTCTGGTATTTTTAATCCACCTCTCCAATCAAGTGTCAGTACTCTGTAAAGTTGTAAATATGAATCTCCCACATGATAATCTTTTTAATAAGTTTTACAATCCAGAATACAAAATTACATATATAATGCATAAGAAAACTTCCTGAGAAAAATCATGCTTCATTTTCCAAAAAGTTAGATCTTCCTGATAAATGTATTTTTAGTACACTCCAGCATATTTTACCATTGAATCATTAAATGTTGACGAAGTGAAATCAAGAGTATGAATTGTAGTTTTCATAAATTTTTTTATCAGCCATACGTGTTATCTTGTATATTTTGCCACCTCAAATCATTTGCCTTGTACATTTTTCTTGTATTTTTATATCATTGATGTTTTATTTCATAAAGGTATTGATGTTAATATATCTATTTTGGATAATTCTATTCATTAAAACTGTAACAAAGGATTCAACTGAAGGATTTCTATATACTAGCCATTTTCACATCTGGGTAAATATGGATATTGTATAGGTTTGGGTACAGGCTATATCTTACAGGTTTTGTCCTGTACAAAAGAAAGGATAACATCTAAATCATTTTTTTTTTAAGTATATGGATTTATTTTTTTTTCTAGAATACAAGAGTACACTACCTGTAGAGACTTACTTGTTAATTTGGTCTTCTTTTATTATTAGAAAATTCTAGTAATTCTCAATAACTGAGGAACCAAAGTAAAATAACTCCATAGAATTATATAAATAATGAAAAATCAAGAAATAGTAGGGATATTTTCCTTCCTAATAGGGACATATTTACTACCTTTTTTTCTTTACATTTAGCATAATTTGGGGAAATTTTTTCCTCAAATCTTAAAGGTGATAAATTCCTTTAAGATTTAGATTCACTTTTATGATAAAAGCAAATTTTGATGAGTTTTCAATATTTAGCATCCTGTCCTATAAGTGTCTAAAAGAGACATTTTCACTTAATAGCTATTTCCAGAAATATGTCGGAAGTAAATTACCACATGAATGGTATGAACAGTTGGATGGTTGGGGAGGCTGTTTACCAGAGTATAAAACGGTGGCAAAGGAGGTGGTTTGGAGGGAAGACAATGATTTCAGACGTGTGTAGTTTGAGATATCTACATTTCCAAGGTGGGGATGTTTACGTTCATACATGTAGCTGTAGAGGTTTACATGTGTATGGCAACAAACTCCCTCGGGAGTTACAAGGTGCTGGAAGGGAGGACTTCCACTTATTTTATATATTTCAGATTATTTGAATTTTTTCCCAACAAGTATATTTCACTTTTAAAGAAAAGACCTAATTCTTTGACATCAAAGAGACTTAGGTTCAGTATAGGTGAGCTATAAGGAGGGCCTGAACTAAGGCAGATGTAATAGAAAATGGAGAGATGTAGAAAAAAATTTAAGTGCGCTTATCAAAAGATGGTCTGCCAAGTAAAAGATTTCAAAGTAATATAATGAGCCTATTAGACAAAGCTTGTTTGCTTTGGACTTGATAGAGCTGATGAAAATCACCTTTTGGAAGCATTGCATCAAACCACATTCTATTCACAGAATCAGAAGAGGGTTCCACAAGTTGTATTACCAGTTATATTTAGCTTTATTCTTACGATAAGCACCATCCAGAACAACTCATTATGTATTCCCTATTTCAGGAAATTTTTTAGTATAGATGGTATTTGCTTTTAAGGGAAGATAACTTTTGTTTCTTGTTTTGGCCGTTTAGGGGGTATCGTACTGTTTAACACTTAAACCTAAAAGGCAAGAATCTCATAAAGTATTTATTGATTTGGCTTTGGCTTATTATTGAATAAACCATTCAACAGCCAAGTCTGACTTTATCTAAATACACTCAAACATGTTTTCTTCTCCATTAACATGGATGTTCAAAACAGTTGGTTTTTACAACTTTAAAGCTAATAAATATAATTTAAAATAACAGATGGTATCAGAATTTTAAGGTTCAGTGTCAAACACTGCTAATTCATAGAAAGCAATAGCTTGTAATATTGAATCATATAACTCTTCTATTCTATTTTGTTCAGTAGATGAAAACATCTGTCGGTAGTGGACTATCTTATCTGATGGGAAGAATACCCGAGGCTCCTTAAGCACAGACTCAGAAAGGAACTGCTTCACTAGTTCTTTCCCACTAGTCCGGGTGTCCCCAATCATCAGTTCAAAGTGCTTGCCCACAGCATTTCGGTTCATGCTCAGCACGCGATGCTGGCCATCCTGGGCAAAAGTTTTATTTAACAAGGCATACAGCATGGCTTCCATGATATGCAGATGTAACAGGATAGGAAACAGAGATGAGTTCTGAATTGAAAGTCCTGTTTTTTCCAGAATATAGAAGTCGGCTGTAGGTATCTTTGAAATGACTGAAGAAATCTTTAAAAAACAAAAACAAAAAAAGACAAAATAAGTGAGCAGTAATTCATTAAATTTCGTTTGGGTCTTCTCTCTGTCCCATTTCTATTTTAAAAATATAATTATTTAACTTACATTATATTGCTGTTGACAGTGTTTAAGTAATTGAAAAAGGATTTTATGGGGGAGTCAGGACAGCCAAGTTCTGGTTGCGGTTCTGTGAGGCACAGTCTGAGCTAAGACAAGCCATTTAATCCTCCTAAAGTACTACTTTCTTCATCTGTAAAATGGGCTTATAATTTCTAAAGGCTACACTGCCTTTAAGATTAGACAACTTAAAACTGTTTAACCTTTTAAGAATGTCCAGGGTAGAGCATAGGGTTAGAATAACTAGCCTAAAACCAATCGCCTCTGTAATTGACTGATCACATCAGATGTTTGATTGATTGATTGAACCAGTTTTCATAGGTATAATCAGGATGATAATTACTGCCAATCTCAAAAGCTTTCAGAGACTCAAATGAGATAATATATGATAGCATTTTTAAAAAAATAAGCTTTATGAATATAGTGATGAAATTCTATAACATTCAGAATAATATACCACTGTTTTTTTCAGTATCTGCCTTTGATATATAGGCATTTCTTGAAATAAATGAAGAAAGATTCAATTTTTACAAAATTGCTGGTGATGGAAAACAGTTGGAATGGGTGAATAATAAGTACCCAAAGAAAACCCATCCTTACTATTTTATTCTATTTCTTTTAGGACTAGAAGATTTAACTATACAAGGATCTCTAGTAGGTTGGAATGTGGAGGTGTAAGTGCCTTACCTCTTCTAAATAGACAGATGATAGGTATGTCCCTTTCATCAACTGGCAACATTCATTTTGCTGCCAGTCCAGCACTGCCAATTGACGATCAAGGTGAGCCCAGGCAATCCTTCGAGTACCAAAAACAATGGATACGATACTGTTAACTGCCTAAAACAAAAAGGCTGGTTAAATTACAAGTGTAAACATTTTAACATACAAATTTTAAGCTGCAAACTCAGAAAGCCAAATTAGTTTATATAATAGAAATATATTTACAGTTTATGAATTGAGAATTGTTAAAGAAATGCAGGAGTAACTCTCAAAAGATAACTAGTAGCGGTCAGTTTATACACAAAGAACCTTTAACTGTTCTCAGCACCTAGCTCAAAGTAGGCATCCAAACATTCAAATGTTGCTGGGGACTGTGCTAGACACTGTGAAACCAGGAACAGAACCATACTTTATAAGAAATGCCACCATACAGTAGTTACACTGTAGAAAGGAGAAATGGTCAGGGAAGACTTACTGGAGGCCTAGGAGAATGAGTAAAATGGTAAACAGGAAGCTATTTCACCCAGATGTCTGTTTGATAGATAGGCTGTTTGACACCTCACACTCAGTGTGAGGAATAAAGAGTGCAAGTGGGAAAAGGGCAGAGGGGTAGACAGATTTCTGCAAAAAGTAACTTGCTTTATCCTGAGAGCTACAGAGAATCACCAAAGCATGTAACATTAAAGTGTAACATGAGATTTACATTTCAGGAAGATCATGTGCAGCTGTGTAGAAGATGGACCAGAGGAGGCTAGACGAGAAGGAGGGATTTCTGTTAGGTACCTGTTATATGATAAAAGTATAAAGAATCGAAGACAGTGACAGTGAGAAGGACAAGAAACAGATCAGAGATAAGGGGAGCAGAACTGACAAGTGGGATGATTGAGGACCCTAGGATATCTCCAGGGTTACTTCTGTGACTGTATAGCATCATTAGTCAAGATGATGATAGGAGGCAGATCAACTGGGGAAGGCTGGGGGAGACAAGTTGTTTTTTTTTGTTTTTCTTTAAAGATTTTATTGGGGAATTGGGGGAGGGGAACAGTGTTGCGGAATCAGGGAAGGGGAACAGACAAGTTGCTGTCCTTTTGTTTTTCAGTCTAGTTGTGGAGGACGTCGCTTCACTGGCCCATGTTGGTATTATTGCGCTCTTCCTGGGTGAGGCAGTCGCTCACCAGCCATTGGACGGCCGCTCACAGCTGCTCACGAAAGCTCACGCCGGCTGCTGGCCAGCCCCACTGCAGCCTATTCCATCACTGGCGGCAGCCAAGCTCCAGATAGAGCTGTTGTTCACCATCTTAGCTGTAGAGGGTGCAGCGTCACTGGCCCTCATGTGGGATCCGAACCAGGGCCCTGCTGCTCAGAGCTGGCATCCCAAGCCAACTCTTAACCAACGTGCCACTCGGCTGGCCCAGCAAGTTGTTTTTTAATGTGTTGAGTTCAGGTTGCCTTCTAAGGGGAGATGTGTAAGAGATAGTTGGATATATGGCTTTAGCTCTGTGTCAAGCCTGGGCTGGAGATATATCTAGCACAATGGTATCACATCATTCCCACATGGCTCATTAAGTTATATAGACACATAAATTAATATACTCCATAGATACAGAGGCAGATAAGCAGGAACATTTCCTGTTTCTATACCCATGTCCCTTTCACTGCTAAGGAATGGATAACTCTCCATTAAAGGCAGAATAGTTTGGATGCCCAGACATCTACAAAATACAGGCCTTCTTTTGTTTTGTTTTCTTTAGTTCAATGATTCTCAAGCTTTAGTGTATGCAAGAATTAGTGAACCAGGTGGCCCATAGTACCTCACAGGCAAAAGATTTTTTTCAAGGACTTGACTGCATGATTTTCTCCATACAAACTAACTTTAGAACCTAGTCTTCTAAATAAAATGCAGCTCCACTATAATCTAAGCATACTCGTAAACAGTAATTTTAGCCATAAATTGGAATGAAAATCCAAACCCTGAAAAATTTGGTTCAGGTATGTTCTAGATCAACTGCAGCAGTTCTACCAGGAGTCCATGGATGGACTGAATGAAATCTGCAAGTCCTCTGGAAGTTTCTGCGTTATTCTCTGTATATGTCTGCCCATCTTTATTTAATTTTTTTTCCTGAAAAGAGGGTCCATAGCTTTCATCAGGTTTTCAAAAAATATACATATTTCCCCCCAAACTGAGATCGTCATTAAAAAATGTCCATAAAAAATTGTGCTTATTGTTATGGGATAAGACACTTATCAAGGACCGGCCGAGTGGTGCGATGGTTAAGAGCTGGCTTGGGAAGCCAGAGGGCCCCGGTTCGGATCCCACATATGAGAGCCAGTGACATTGCCCTCTACAGTTAAGATGCTGAACAACAACTCAACCTGGAGCTGGGCTGCTGTGAGTCGCCGGCGACGGAGTAGGCTGCAGCCACTGCTGCAGTGGGTTGCCATGGGCTACTGTGTGTAGCCAGCAGGCAGCGTGAGCAGCCAGCAGCCGCCGTTGAGCAGCCGTCCAGAAGCCTGCGACTGATCTGCCTCACCCGGGAAGAGCGCAATCATGGTGCCAACTTGGGCCAGAAAAGCAACGTCCTCCACAACTAGACTGAAGAACAAAAGGACAGCAACTTGTCTGTTTCCCTTCCCCCAATTCCTCAGGGCTGTTCCCATCCCCCAATT